TTCCGTTTCTCCGTCTGGAGTTAGAACTTAGATAAATTCAATGTCGAGGTACTGCAAAACCGGCAGATTACACGCTTCAAGTTATAATATAGTTGTTAGTGGTACGGCTTAATTAATTATATCATCTTAAGTTTGCATATAGACAGGATTCCATCACGAATTATGATTATATTAATTTAATCAATGTGGTCACTTTAGTCGCACTAATATAGGCAAACTGCCGCTTCAATTAAACTTTATTTTGAAAATCGGGATATAGGTATATTAAAGTGTATTAAAGTGTATTAAAGTGTATTAACGTATATTAAAGTATATTAAAGTATATTAAAGTATATTAAAGTATATCAAAGTATATTAAAGTATATTAAAGTATATCCCCGGGTCAAAATCGGAAAAAATCCTACATTTTAATATACTTTAATATGGTTGGCCCCCCCCCCCCCCCCCCCCCAACTTTTAATCACGCTCCTAATGCTTTCATCGATTTAATCACTATCCCTGAATGGGGAATGCTCCTAGAGCGAAAGGGGACTGTGTTTAGTCACCCGAGTTTACAACTGATGACCGTGGTCATCACGGTCGATCCAATCGATTTCGATACATCGGTAGAGAGTTTCAGGTGCCGTCTCACCATGCCTCCCATATTGAAAAATATTGAGAAAACTATTGCAAAGTATGAAGAAATGACACAGGCAATCTTATTCACAAAACATACGTTCACATACGACACTTGTAAAATACTAAATTCGACGGTGGGGCACTGTAATACCACCCATAAGCGCTCAAAACGGATAGTAGGGGCCTATGTGGCGGCCGGGGTCGCTTTAGGGTTAGTTTCAGCAATCAACATCCATGGGACTTGCAACATCCAACAAAATCCAAATAGAAAATATGAGAGAGTACATGCAGAAAAATTCGAAGTCAATAGAGGCTGGCATCAGGACAAAGCGCTGGCAGACCTGTTGCAGTTTGTCCTCAAAGGACAGACTTTTGGCAATGATTTAGAAGTTTATTGATAGCCGCGGTTGCGAAGAAAATTAAGTTGTATAAAAATCGAATTATTGCTGAGAACGGAATCGTTCATCAGTAATCTGATGAACGATTATTGAGAAAAGCGCAATAATTGAACGTGACTTTTTAAGCTGAATCAAGCAGCTCCAGACAGTACTGCTTCGTATGTTTTAGAAAGTGAAAAATAATTACGGGACTAGAATAAAATGTTAAGGCATCATATGACATAATTGTGTCAATCATAGGCAGTAAATTCAAGTCTTAAAAATTAGTGTTCAGTTCACTTAAAATCGAGTGGTGGTTCATTTGCAATCGAATATTGTGCTTTTCGTACAGTCTCCCAAATTTCTGACATGTCCGAATCATCCGATAAGGGGAAAGGTAGGAAGAGGAGAAGGTCCAGCGATAGCTGAGGGGCGTGGCCGACCCGTGGCTCGGGTTGAGCCTCAGGAACCTCCAGTGGTGAGTAGTAGGTTTACTGTAATATATTTTCTTTTTCTTTTTCTTTTTCTTTTTCTTTTTCTTTTTCTTTTTCTTTTTCTTTTTCTTTTTCTTTTTCTTTTTCTTTTTCTTTTTCTTTTTCTTTTCTTTTTCTTTTTCTTTTACACCATAATCGACATCACAGATTCAGATCTGGAATCCCTATCAGAAACTGACTACGTAGTCAAAACTTTAATTAAGAGTGAACCCATCGAGAGTGAACTTAACGAGGACATTAACATCCCATTTTCTCAAATAACAAATTTATGGAGGGATTATTAAATTACCTATTACTAGTACAGAACAATATTAATGCCGCCCTTGAATCTTGATTCATTGTTTTGATCGAAGTCCAATTTCTAAAATATGATATTTTGTATCTAAAATATTATATTTTGTATCTGAAATATTATGTTTCGTATTTAAACTTCCAAAAATGCTTACTCCATTTTATACTTTCAAAAAGAAGTTTCCTTTGTTCAATGCATCCCAAGTGAATAATATTTATCACTTATTAAACTGTCACATGAAAAATTAAAACTATTCTACTATACTAGCAGCAACAAAATCATACGATCTTGTCCGCAAAGAAACCAAATGCGTTCATGAAGCCTCCGGAATGTATTATAAAATATAATACCTCCGCAACTTCGTGCCCGCACGTTCCCTCCAGCAAGCTGTGCTGTCGGGAATTATCGCGCGCAGCACCCAGTGGCGGAGGTATTATAGTATTATATACGCTGCTCAGTATTTTAACACGCGAATCAAATATTTCAAAACACTCAAAATGTCAAATACTAATAGGAGGGCATACGAAGCGTTTCAAGTTTATATGTAAAAAACAATACCTTGACCGATCCAGGCTAAAATAATACCAAGTGTTTATATTCATAAACATTGATAAAGAGTTTATTGAATAAAAATATTGCAGCGGAATGACAAGAGCGCCGCCCAGTTTTATGAGTAAAAAAGATTACTGCAGTAACCACTACCAGTTAAGGGCTCTTTCACGAATCACGCTTGAACTTGAAGTTGAAGCAGCTAGCGCCGATCGATGACGATCGATCGACACAGGGGTGCCATAGTGCAAAGTTAGCAGCAGTATCTTATTAAATATAACGGAGGTTTAGGAGCTAGTTGTGCAATATTTTAAAGATGGTTGAAGACATTTTGGCAATGATTTAGAAGTTGATTGATAGCCGCGACTGCAAAGAAAATGATGTTGTATAAAAATCGAATTATTGCTGAGAACGGAGTGCCTGATGAACGATTACTGAGAAAAGCGCGATAATTGAACGTGACTTTTTAAGCTGAATCAAGCAGCTCCAGACAGTACTGCTTCGTATATTGTTGAAGGTGAAAAATAATTACGGGACTAGTATAAAATGTTAAGGCATCATATGAAATAATTGTAAAATTCTATATATTCGATGTCGGAACTGTGCAATTATCAGTTTAACTGTCAATCATTGTTTGGGCTGCATTAGGCATTAAATTCAAGTCTTAAAAGTTAGTGTTCAGTTCACTTGAAATCGAGTGGTGGTTCATTTGAAATCGAAATTGTGCTTTTCGTACAGTCTCCCAAATTTCTGACATGTCCGGATCATCCGATAAGGGGTAAAGTAGGAAAAGGAGAAGGTCTACTGAAGATGCTGAGAGGCATAGCCGACCCGTGGCTCGGGTTGAGCCTCAGGAACCTCCAGTGGTGAGTAGTATGTTTACTGTAATATATAATTACATAAATGTTATTTTGTTGTACTTTATAGATTGTTGATCGATACATTGTAGCAGCTTGAGGAGTTTCTATTGCATTATGTTGCCGGTATGGAGGGTAAATGAGGTTAAAAGGCTACGTACAGAGGTCCGAGAGCTGGAGCAAAAAGTGAGTTACCTGCGAATGCAGCTTTTATCCCGGGGGTTACAGTTTGCTAAGCGGATATCTAGGGGCGTGGCGCACCACGCAAAGCTGATGTATGACAGTTTGGTAAGTGTCTTATTTCATGTTTAAAGCGACCCATAAGCATCTGTTATTGTGCGAACTTCATTGCTTTGCGGCTCTTTTGGTGGCCAATGCATCAATCATCATGGGGATGGCACAAAATTCAGCTTACTCAGACCTGGAAGATTATATTGAGGAGGAGTCAGATATTTTATCCGTATCTCTAGGGGCTGTTAGGATACTTAAATTCACTAACAGTATGACTCATGACTGGGAAAGTCAGAACTCTTACCAACAAAATCGAATTATTGTATTTTATTTTCTTTTTCTTTTTCTTTTTCTTTTTCTTTTTCTTTTTCTTTTTCTTTTTCTTTTTCTTTTTCTTTTTCTTTTTCTTTTTCTTTTTCTTTTAATACCTGCACCTTTTTTGCTTCTTCAAGTTCTCTTTTCGCTTTTATTTCCCTTTTATTAATTTTAAGGGTACCTCAAAACTTGTTTTTCAGAATTTCGCATTATTGAAAAAAGTTGAATACGATCAGACAAGACGAGTGTCGTCATGGTATTTTTATACTAGTAATCGAAGTTATACGAAGATTCTGAAGAAATAAATTTAAGAACTGCTCTGGCAGTTATAAGAGTTCCAGATTTTCGAAAGATTAAAGCCTTGTAGAGCTTAAAGCGAAAAAGGAAAGCTGAAGTACCTAGAAATGGAAGTTTTGTCCTTTGTAAGGTAAAGCAGACGAAAAATAGGAAGTTGAAAGCTGACGGACTTCGCGAGACAGTCTACTCCGACAGTTCCACTCCTCTCACTAAAAAGAGGTTGATGGATATTGTCCATACTTATTTGTGTCTGGGGCCCTCTGATGCCGTAATTTTATACCAGACATTACAAGGACCCGAAGTCACTGAACGGTGGGTACGATTGATAAAGTGCACGACCGTTGTGTACAGCCTCATCAGAAATGTCATTAAGCTAGAACCAGAGGAAGAACATCAGGGATCCTCGTCTTTTCAAACTCATTAAAAGCGATGGCTAAGAACTACGCAATGGATAAAGAAGTCAACAAATTTGGTGGAGAAATCTACGAACTACACAAGAGACAAAGGAGTTAACATATTTGGAGGAGAACTATACAAGGAGTACATACAACAGAGCAACTATTGTAGTTCCACAAATTTTCTAATATACATTTAATTTTAATGTAATTACATAACTAATTGTGAGTTGATTGCGAGAACGAAAATGCCGATCAGTTGCTCATAAAACACGACATTATCATGTTATAGTATAGCCTGGATAATAAGTGGCACATTGGGAGACCCAAAAAGGAAGGAGAAGGATATTGTCCGTATTTCCTGGACTATCTAGGTGTGCATCATTGCATTTGTGAAGTACCTACCAACACGACCCTGCAGAGCAGCCATCAAACGACTCAGCAGTGAATAGAATCCAAAATTTTGAATAATAATCAAGCAGAGCTAAATGGACCAATGATAAAATAAATCGCCCTCAGGGGAAACAGAGATGAAGTATGGGTCGTAAACAGTACAGGAGATGAACCGTCTACAAATGAATTTCCGGGCTGCGGACGGAGCTCTCAAGAAACACTGTATATCTGCACCTAAACATGCAACACTCAAGAAACACTGTATATCTGCACCTAAACATGCAACACTCAAGAAACACTGTATATCTGCACCTAAAAATGCAACACTCTTGTCTGCCGACATCCAGAATGAAATAGTAGATCTCATCAAGACTGTGATTGAAAGCATCGTCCCCATCGACTCTCTGCCGCCTTCATCTGCACTTGTCACTGCCATTCTGGTAAATATACCTGGACCGCGCGGGGAAACGGACTTGTCATGATAGTTTATTGCTGTTTAAGTTAATGTCACTATTTTTAACATCCTTATTTACTATTATTAGTTGGTTATCTTCCAGGTATAAATTCACCTAAAATTCTAAGGTCCATCAATGCAATTAATTCTCTGTCCTAAAATCTATCTTGTACAATTGAGAGTTTGGGCTTGCACTGCTTCCCAAAGTGAGTCTCAAACCGGAGAAATTCCACAACATCGGAATTTGGATTTCTACGCTAGATATAAGATAAAAGGAGCCCGATTATACTTATTTAAATTAATGTCATCCGAATTAAATGAAGTATACCAGATAGAAAATTTCTAGCAGTCAGGAAGGAAATAAACACTTAAAGTAGGCCGTTAAGTAATTGCACGTGGTAAAAACCGAGCACGCCCTTTAACACAAGCATCATACAAAAATATAAGAAGAATTTTAACAGTCCAGCGTCCCCTAAACAGTGCACAAGCATTCTCGGAGGAGAGCTATTCAAAGTTAACAAGTTTGACATAGCTTAACACCCCAGTTCCACACCCCAGTTCCACAGCCGGATATTATGCCAAATTATTAGACGGAGATCGTCTACTGATATTTCTCCGGATATTTCTCCGGTTTGCAGTTCCACGACCTTAGAGCTAACCGGCTGAGTTTAAATGGTTTTAAAGTTACAAACTAAATAATATAGTTATAAAATGGGAGGATATGATAATTTATAAACCCCGGACCTGAAAACACTTGAGAGTCAAGTTTGAATTAAGATCGAAGTCAAAATATTTGATTTATTATTAATTGTGTTACTGTAATTACTAGAAAGAAAAATCAGTTACAATAAAACACTAGGTTGAGTATGATTTTATGTGAATTATAGAATTATTTGTTCAAGCAGCACCTAATTTGTGCGCTTATTTTTTAATGTCTGTTTTTAGATCACTCTTCTGCCAGAGTTTGTATTGCAAAAGATTATAGATATTTGTTAATCTTCAAATAAGCTGACTTTTATTGATCTTTTAACATATTTATTTGCCAAGAAATTACATTATCTCATTATGCAGACCACGTTGTCTTTTGGATACCAGATGACTCGAGACAAATCATAAAACACAATGTTAGGACCGAGTCCATTACCTTCTCCAATACAATGGGAACTTTCAAACGTTAATGACTTTTCTTACAGCAAATTTTAAGTTGCTCCACTGCACGGAGTCGAAGCTAGAGAAGGCATTATTCATGGGAGCAGTTATATTATTATTATTGGGAGCTGTTATATTATTATTATTCACTCGAAACCCAAGGTGGCGAGTTCAACAATGTAATCGGCATAACATTGATACCACTAGATTAAGAACGATTCCGTGTCCTGCAAACAGTGCCCGATAGACAAAGAAGACAACATCCTTGGTGGTGAGATGTATAAGCTCAACATAGTGCTAATGGAACTGAAGTAAGCATAAAACTATAATTCTCAGTTAGTTAGAAATCCTCAGTTCTAAGGCCTTGTATCGTCTCCATTGCATGCAGCATGAACTTTCAATATAAGAATAAGTTTGATAGTTTTTTTCCCTTTTTTAGCAGTGAAAATATATTTCTAATCACAATTTAAATTTTATTGAAATCATTAGAAACATTATATGGGTAAAAAGTTTATAATAAACTTGAAAATATGATTTTTATATAGTCAGCCAGATACAACAGCAGATTTGATCATTCATCCAATAACTCAATAACTACTAAGAATAAAGATGTTACATCTCATCAAAAGAGCCGTTTGATCGTTATAGCTTTATAGATGAAGCGCACCGCCTAAAAAAGTAAAAAGTGATGTACATCTCATCGATTTACATAAATGGGTAGTGATGGGTGCGTGCTGCATTGGCTCATAATCACGAACCGCATTTTGAGAAATTACATTTTTAAGACTGTTTTTTTTTCTTCAAAAACTGTTGCCTGCATAGCAGACAAACTAAGAAGTCTGAACTTACATTAATCTAATTATTTTACCTTAGATGAGGCCAATTCATTAGATGCAAGAAGAAAGTAATGGATGAGTTTAAGCATTTCCTCTTCAACCCAAAGCTAACAGAAACTGACCTCGTCTCAAATGCAGGTACCTGTTTGCTCTGTAGACCAGGATTGTGCATTCCCAGTAGTCATGGTAAAGACCATGTGAAAAAGTTTAAACGAATAGACGACTTGGTCATATTGACGGTTGTCGGCAGAAACATCATTTTGCTATGTGGATGATAAAAAGCCGACAAGGTACCAATATCACTGTCCATTCTGCATATTTAGTAATAAGGAAGTTGGAAGACAATTTTTGCATATAAACAGATGTAGAAGTCAACCCTCAACAAATCGGGGATGCTCACGAGATATACCTTAACCTACTGCAGCAGAGGATACTAAGTAAGAACTACGGGTTATATAAAATATATGGACGTATATTTCTAATCACAATTTAAATTTTTTAAATCATTAAAAAAATGTATGGGGAAAAAAGCAGTGTCCTGAAAACAGTGTCCTACAAAGTAGTGAAGTTTAAAATGGCCAGGGACGTGAAGTTTAAAATAGCCAGGGACGTGAAGTTTAAAATGGCAGGGATGTGAAGTTTAAAATGGCTAGGGACGTGAAGTTTAAAATGGCCAGGGATGGCATTTTGACGGTTGTCACCGAATAAACAGGGAGAAGAGACTCTCAAAAGACAGTGGTATTAAAAAAGACAGGACGGAACATTGGCGAGCTGGAAATGGCCATCGCAAAGGCCACACTGCAACATGAAGAAGAGGAAGAGAAGGAATAGAGCCCGGCATGTCTGCTATAAATCTGCATGTCTGCTAACTTACAGAAGCCTGTGCAGAAATAAGATTTCTTCTTTTTTAGAAATAAAGTAAGAAGAAAGAAGACCCTACAAACTCATGCAGACAAAAGCTTTGGAGAAGAACTCTTCAAAGCGAATTTTTTCAACAGAGTGCTCACTGAAGCAGAGAATAATATAAGCATCCAAAACGAAGAAATATGCGACTAAAGTTGTGAAATGTAAAATTGTGCTGATATTTTCTTTCTCTTTACAGTTTCTTTCTTTAAAACATTTCCTTTTTTCTTCCTACTTTTTATTTTCATTGTTTTTCATCCGGTGTTTAATCTCATTTTTCTGTAAGTTCTTGTCTGATTTTATTTTCTTTTTTAAACATTTTTTCCAATCTTTTACTTTCTAGGTCACTACTTTCCAGCTGCGAAGGGTAAGGGTTAATCGGCTGAACGAAGCAAAACCAAGTGGCCATTATATTCATCTTATGTTTGTGTCTGATTGCCTAGGGAAGCATATAAAATATATTTTTATTCATATTTCACAGGTTGAAACTCGGTTGAAGCAGTATTTGTCCTACTTGCTCGACGAAGGACTCTACGACAAGGAGGATCAAACAGATAAAAAAATACTGGCAGCGGTGTTCATACCTGTGATTGAGCGATGCCTGGACACATATATGCATCTGAGTACAACAATTACAGGTAATCAACAGCTGCTAGTAGATTATATGTAAGTCATTTTATGAAATAATGTTTTCGTTTTCAGTTAAAATGGTCTGGTTAGGTACCAATACAGGCTCTGTCATTCTTTTCTACTGAGTATAATGCTGTTGTAGCTAACCCAGAGGTGCTCAACATTCAGAAGGGTGATCAAGTTCGTAATTTAAAAAATACTCATTATTGATTCGCAATCAAATAATGTTCATTACTTTACGATTATTATAAAAATAATTATAAATAAATTTGTTGGAACTGAAGTAAGCATAAAACTATAATTCTCAGCTAGGAATAAATCCTCAGTTCTAAGACCTTGTATCTTCTCCATTGCATGAACTTTCAATATAATGATAAGTTTGATAAGTTTTTTATAGCAGTGGAAATATATTTCTAATCACAATTTAAATTTTATTGAAATCATTAGACACATTTAACGGGAAAAGGCAGTGTCCTACGAAAAGTTTTAAAGTTACAAACTAAATAATAGAGTTATAAAATGGGAGGATATGATAATTTATAAACCCCGGACCTGAAAACACTTGAGAGTCAAGTTTGAAGTAAGATCGAAGTCAAAATATTTGATTTTATTATTATTTGTGTTAATTACTAAAAAGAAAAATCAGTTACAGTAAAACACTAGGTTGAGCATGATTTTATGCGAATTATAGAATTATTTGTTCAAGCAGCACCCAAATTGCGCGCTTATTTTTTAATATCGGTTTTTAGATCACTCTTCTACCACAGTTTTTATTGCGAAGGAATATAGGTTTTTGTTAATCTTCAAATAAGCTGACTTTTATTGATCTTTTAACATATTTATTTGCCAAGAAATTACATTATCTCATTATGCAGACCACGTTGTCTTTTGGACACCAGATGACTCGGGACAAATCAAAAAACACAATGTTAGGACCCAGTCCATTACCTTCTCGAACACAATGGGAACTTTCAAACGACTTTTCTTACAGCGAATTTTAAGTTGCGCCACTCCACGGGGCACGGAGTCGAAGCTAGAGAAGGCATTATTCATGGGAGCTGTTATATTATTATTATTCACTTGAAACCGGTGACCACAGAAGTGGTACTTGTTGGCGGTAGCTCTCGTCTGTCGTTGCTGAAAACCATCGTGGTAGATACCCTACCTAATGCATCACTCATCGAGCCAGTTAACGTGGACCGGGCGGTAACACTGGGTACCGCCAGGAGGATTGGCCAACTACTCGAGAACCCAGACAGCGAAGAACCCGCAGAAATTACAGAGATGGCCAATCATACCCTGGGAATCAGCGTGATCAACGACGGGTTTGTACCCCTGATTCCGAGAGGAGCCCAGCTACCGGTGACACGGGAGAAAGGCTTTACCACAAGCGTGGATTTTCAGTGGACGATGAAGATAGCAGTATATCGGGGAGAGAACGAGTGGGCAAGCCTAAACACGTGTTTAGGCATGTTCAGTTTGGAAATCATGCCTATGCCCCAGGGGGAACCTCGGGTGATCGTTAAGTTCAGTTATAACCCGGAGGGTATGCTGACGGTAACAGCGACAGAAGCATCTTTTCTCAACGAGGGAGGTAACAATGACACGGGAAAGGCCAGAGGAAGCACCACCATCGGAAATCAAGAAAAACGAGGACAAAGAAAAGGAAAAGGAACTCACATCGGATGACCTATCAACGGACTCCGGGGAGGAGAACTAGAAAAACAGCATGACCCATGCTTTTGTGGGAAGACTTTAAACAGCGTGTAAAAGGGAATATTATGGTTATTTCGGGTATTTTTTTAATATATTGGTTTAAAAAAGGTTTTACTTTCAGTTGATTTGGGATATTTTTTTAAGTAAATGAAAAAAAAATTAAAAAAACATATATATATAAAGGGGTTTGAACTAAATAGATAATTTTACAATTGGTATTACCTTACGTCTATAATTGATCTCTGTTGATTCATAAAAATTATCATGGCGAAACACAAAGTTACAAATCAATCTGTGTATATATTTATACACATTAAATATCTCTAATGGTTTCACACATGATCATAGTGTGGAACCACCCCTGAAACAATCAGTGAACCAGTTACTAACCAAATACCCCAACAGGGAATGGCCGATCAACAACATGGCAACAACGCCCCAGCAGCAGCTGCTGCAGCCGCAGCTAGAATGCCACAGCGTCTCAACCCGATGTTCATAAGAGCACCACCACAGTTTAAGAGCGGGATGGACCTGGATCTATACCTACAACGGTTCCGGGCGTACTCCAGATCCATTAACTGTCCGGCAAATGAACAAGCGGACCTTCTAATAAGCTTGCTGGAGGACAAGGCACTAGAAGGGATCTCGAGAACAGTTCAACTCGTTACTTATGCAAGGCGATTTAGACGAACTCATCGCCCAAATCAGACGTGCAGAAAGGCTAGGCCGTAACAGAGAACGGTACATAACGGAACTACGCAACAGAAAAAGACTTCGGACAGAAGGAATCTGGGAATACCACCTCGAGTTTTCAATGAAACAAGAAATTTCAATGAAACAAGAAATTTAATTTTTAGCACATTTTACAGAATAAAGAGAAGTAAAACAATTTATAAAAATATAATGCTCATTTGGTGTATGACTTTTTGTCCTTGACTGTTAGTTTGATTTTGAAGGGACAGGTAACTAACGGGGCAGGGAATGTGCGTGGCTGAAAGCTTTTGCACACACCAAAACGCTAGTTCAGTTGAGTTTTTAGAGACAGGGCTCATATGAGGATCAGAAGAAAATTATTAGCAGACGTTAGGGGTTCTGTTTGTGTTTGTTACTATGGGTTACAGTCTTGTTGTGACAGAAAGTCTACACTATATATGCCTAAGTTTAAATTGTGTAGTTTGAGGATATAAAATGCAACTGCCAGTTACACAAACTGGCAAAGAAGGCTTATCCAGACAATGATGCTATGAGAAACGGGTCTCTCAGAGAATCGTTTTTTATCGCCAACATCAACGACTCCTATCTAGCATCGCGGCTAAGGGAACTACAAGAGCTCAAAATGGAGCAGCTGTTGGATGCAGCGATCACCTTACATGGATGCCAAACGGCATCAATAAAGCCAGTCAATGTGGTAACGTACCAGGAGGACAACGGGAGTTTTAAGCTGGAAAAAGACCAGATCTGGCAGCGGTTAGACGACATATCTCTTCGGATGGATCAATTGGCAGTGAACCAAATTGTGGGAAATTGGTAGATCACCGACCGGCTATAAGCCGGTTATAAGCCGGCTATAAACCGGCTTATAGCCGGCTACAATTTTTATAGCCGGCTATAAGCCGGCTTATAGCCGGTTAGTAGCCGCTTACATTTGTTGTTGAGCGACGGCTATTAGCCGGTTATAAGCCGGCTATTAGCCGTTTAGGTATCGAAAGTGGTTATAAGCCGGCTATAAGCCGGCTATAAGCCGGTTATAAGATATTAACTCAACTTCATTGTACTGAACAATAGTCAGGAGCCGGCTATAAGAAATTCAGCGAAAACAGCTATTAGCCGGTTATAAGCCGGCTATTAGCCGTTTAGGTATCGAAAGTGGTTATAAGCCGGTTATAAGATATTAACTCAACTTCATCGTACTGAACAATAGTCAGGAGCCGGCTATAAGAAATTCAGCGAAAACAGCTATTAGCCGGTTATAAGCCGGCTATTAGCCGTTTAGGTATCGAAAGTGGTTATAAGCCGGCTATAAGCCGGCTATAAGATATTAACTTAACTTCATCGTACTGAACTGAGTTAATATCTTATAACCGGCTTATAGCCGGCTTATAACCACTTTCGATACCTAAACGGCTAATAGCCGGCTTATAACCGGCTAATAGCCGTTTTCACTGAATTTCTTATAGCCGGCTCCTGACTATCGTTCAGTACGATGTAGTTGAGTTAATATCATATAACCGGCTTATAGCCGGCTTATAGCCGGCTTATAACCACTTTTAATACCAAAACGGCTAATATCAGGCTTATAACCGGCTAATAGCCGTCGCTCAACAACAAATGTAAGCGGCTACTAACCGGCTATAAGCCGGCTTATAGCCGGCTATAAAAATTGTAGCCGGCTATAAGCCGGCTTATAGCCGGTTAGTAGCCGGCTTATAGCCGGTCGGTGATCTACCAACTGGCCAGAACTGTTTCTAACCAACCAGTAACAACCCAAAACAACATCCAAGAACAAAACACCCAGGAGGGGTATCAATATAAAGGACCACGGCATTCATTCCCAGAACCACCATCTTACACCTGTTACCACTTAAACACCTCTTTTTATTATTTTTCTAACCCTTTTTCCCTCCTTAAGTTAAAATGGCTACGTCGAGAGACTTTATCAAGGCCGTATCTTCGCTAACAACAGCGTATTCTGACGACCTGAGGGAACTTGAGGCTTTAAAGAAAAAGTTGAGGAGAGCCGAACGAACCATCAGAGACTTACGCGTAGAAATTGAGTTTTATGCAGATCAAGCAGCAAGCTTTGAGATGCGGATGGATACTCAACTGCCGGCATACTTTCAGAGACCTTCATCCCCCAGTACTTACCAGACTTCTCCGTACCAGGAATCTCCGGCTTCACCGCCACTTGACGACCCTAATGCGCGAGGAGCATGGTGATGAAGCAAGAACAAAGAAGATGACTTGTTTTATCCTTTATTTATTTCACATTTTGATAAATTTTTGTTTCCTATTTCTGTTACTTATATTGAAGTGTTTTATTTGTACTCCTTCGTATAAAGTGGAAAAGAGGATCTGAATATAAAGAAAGGAGAAAGACGGGGAAGAAAGGGTAGTATTAAAGAGTATTGTACTGGATATTATAGTACGTTTAGGTGTTAAGTATAGGAAGTGTTCTTTCGGCATTTTAGTTTAGGCGCGCAGAGCTGTGCTAGGGTTAAATTTAAATGATTTCCCTTCAACACAAGCATCATAAAAAAATATATGAAGAATAATTAAACAGTCCAGCGTCCCCTAAACAGTGCACAAGCATTATCGGAGGAGGGCTATTCAAAGTAAACACTAAACATGTTTGACAGAGCTTAGAGCTAACCAGCTGAGTTTAACAGTTTGAAAGTTACAAACTGAATAATAGAGTTATAAAATGGGAGGATATGATAATTTATAAACCCCGGACCTGAAAACACTTGAGAGTCAAGTTTGAATTAAGATCGAAGTCAAAATATTTGATTTTATTATTATTTGTGTTAATTACTAAAAAGAAAAATCAGTTACAGTAAAGCACTAGGTTGAGCATGATTTTATTCGAATTATAGAATTATTTGTTCAAGCAGCACCTAAATTATGCGCTTATTTTTTAATATCTGTTTTTAGATCACTCTTCTGCCACAGTTTGTATTGCGAAGGAATATAGGTTTTTGTTAATCTTCAAAAAAGCTGACTTTTATTGATCTTTTAACACATTTATTTGCCAAGAAATAACATTATCTCATTATGCAGACCACGTTGTCTTTTGGAGACCAGATGACTCGGGACAAATCATAAAACACAATGTTAGGACCCAGTCCATTACCTTCTCGAACACAATGGGAACTTTCAAACGTTAATGACTTTTCTTAAGAATTTTAAGTTGCTCCTCTCCACGGAGTCGAAGCTAGAAAAAGCATTATTCATGGGAGCTGTTATATTATTGGCAACTTGTACGAACACCGATGGGACAGTAAGACAACATTAAGACAACATTAAGACAACAATAAGACAACATTAAGACAACATTAAGACAACAATAAGACAACGTTAACGCAACAAACACCAATAAGACAACAAACGATAAGACAACATTAAGACAACATTAAGGCAACATTAAGGCAACATTAAAGCAAACATTAAGACAACATTAAGGCAACATTAAGACAACATTAAGGCAACAATAAGACAACAATAAGACAACAATAAGACAAGATTAAGACAACAAACACCGATAAGACAACAAAATAGGATAAAATATTAAGACAACATTAAGACAACATTAAGACAACATTAAGACAACAAACTCAATTAAGACAACATTAAGACAACATTAAAACAACAAACTCATTTAAGACAACATTAAGACAACAAACTCGTTTAAGACTACATTAATGCAACAAAATGTTTAGAATATGTAATATACGGCCGTGATTTCATTGCCGCAGTACACAGATTTTTGAAATTATCTGTTAAGATACTTTGGACTGCTAGTTAAAAGTCGGAAATTTAAATTGATGCTTAATTGATTTAAATGAAATAACTGGTTTACAATATAATGATGATAAATTGATACTGAAATAACTGGTTTACAATATAGAATAAAACAAATATCTTAATAACGAGTTTTAGGCTTTAGGGCGTTTCCTTGAGCATAAAGGCGTGTTAGGTCTCTATGTTTTCTGTTGCAGATATCTTTTGCCGCTGGGTTTGGAGCGTTACTTTACGTAGCTGCAGGAACGAGCTCTCAAGGGATTGTCTGTCCACGAGTGCTGCTTCTGCAATGCACCTTTTTCTGTAGAAGTGCGATCGACAAATGCCTCTTTCTTCTAGGACTGTTGAAAGAGATTTCCCGTTGATGGTCAAGTTGAGTATTGTCCTGTATTCAACCAAAGCTCCGTCAATGCTGATGTTCCTCACTCGTGTCCGACGAGCTGCTGGAGGAGGTG